AGCCTCCTGAGTGGCTGGGACTACAGGCGCCCGCCATCACGCCCGGCTAATTTGTGTGTGTGTGTGTGTGTGTGTGTGTGTGTGTGTGTGTGTGTATTTTTAGTAGAGACGGGGTTTCACCGTGTTAGCCAGGATGGTCTCGATCTCCTGACCTCATGATCCACCCACCTCGGCCTCCCAAACCTCAGACATTTTAAACCTGCTCAGGTGTCTCCTTCCTTACCTATTCTCCCTTCACCCCTTTCCCATCCTCTTTTCTCTGCTCCCTGCCTTTTCACTCCTCGCATCTCCCTTAACTTGTGAAAACAAGAATGGGAAAAGGACACCTTAAGCCAACAGATTAGTAGGTGTTTGGTTGATATAAATACTGGGACTGAGACTCTGAATATGGAGCTTGAGATTTTGGACTTTACTTCTAGTCCTCAGAATAAGAGTTACTGGGCAGGTTTTGTTTATTCCTTGATTAACTCACATGTCAGATACTTAGACTGACACAGAGCCTGGCAAGTAGTTCAGAAGACCCTAATCCTACATCACCCAAGACCCATATGACAGTTCATAAGACCCTAATCCTGCCATAAGGTCACAATCTTATGGAGAAGATGAGCAGCAGTGAGCACACAACCCCCACTCCCTCCACATCCCCCATTCAATCTTTGAATTTTGAGGATAGAAAGAACTTTAGCTTATCTGGTCTTCTTTCATGTTGCTGTGTAATAAAGTAAGGCAGATCATGAGAGTACGTAGGCTCTGGAGTAAAGTAAAGCAGACCTGGGTTCAAATTCTAGCCTTGTTGCTTACTAGCTGTTTGACCTTGAATGGCACACTTAGCCTCACCTGTCTTCAGTTACCTTGGTTGTAAAATGGACATGTCATCACCTGCTTCACAGGGTATCATAAGGATTAACAGTTTAACACCCAGCCTCATGCCTGAGGCATAGTAGCAGCCCGTGTCTTTCTGTCACCCTGCATCAAGGCTTGGCTTAAATCTTTGCTTCTTCTGTGAAGCTTCTGAGACAACCCCAGGTCAGACTGATTTGTTTCTTCACTTTCACAGTATATAACATTCTTTGAACTGTTAGATCCTGCCTAATATTCTTAGTAATTTTTTTTTGTGGGATATCATAGTCCCATCCTGAATGCCAAGTGCCTAAGGATAAAGACTGTTCTCAATCATCTGTGCGTCCTCCATAACCCCTCACTCAGAGCTGTGTACATAGCAAAGCCAACCAGTACAGCTAGTATCAGGAAATATTTTTTGACTAATTAGATAGAAGGTTCGTGTATGTACTCTGTTTTTCAGCTTACAAGAAGAACTATAAAAGACCTGGCTGGGACTCTCCCATCCTAACTCTGCTCTTTTCCTCACCTGTTATCACATTGATAAAAACATGTGATCATAACATCCTTGTGTTGGCAGTATAGAAATTCCCATTTTGCAGATGAGGGATCTGAGATGAAGATTAGAACTCAGGTCTCTTGTTGGGAGATAGATCCAGACTAAGTAGGAGGAATAGAAACAGAAATCTTATAACTGGCTGGGCGCAGTGACTCACGCCTGTGATCCCAGCACTTTGGGAGGCCGAGGCAAGCAGATAATTTGAGGTCAGGAGTTTGAGACTAGCCTGGCCAACATGGTGAAACTCCGTCTCCACTAAAAACAAAAATTAGCCAGACGTGGTGGCATGTGCCTATAATCCCAGCTACTTGAGTGGCTGATACAGGAGAATCGCTTGTACCCGGGAGGTGGAGGTTGCCGTGAGCTGAGATTGCACTACTGCACTCCAGCCTGGGCAACAGAGCAAGACCCTATCTTAAAAAATAAAAAAGAGGCTGGGTGCAGTGGCTCAAGCCTGTAATCCCAGCACTTTGGGAGGCCGAGACGGGCAGATCACGAGGTCAGGAGATCGAGACCATCTTGGCTAACACGGTGAAACCCTGTCTCTACTAAAAAATACAAAAAACTAACTGGGCGAGGTGGAAGGCGCCTGTAGTCCCAGCTACGCAGGAGGCTGAGGCAGGAGAATGGTGTAAACCTGGGAGGCGGAGCTTGCAGTGAGCCGGGATCGCGCCACTGCACTCCAGCCTGGGCGACAGAGCGAGACTCCGTCTCAAAAAATAAAAATAAAAAAGAAACCTTGTAACTGACTAGGTCTCCATTCTTTGGAAGAAGCAGGAATTTTTACAAGGAAGAAGGGGAACCCAGGGGTACTGTATTCCTGAGGCCTTAGCTAATGGTGAGACCAGAAGTGAATATACCCACAAGCCAGAGATGTTTCAAGAACATGGCAGAGAGAGTGGCGAGAAAAGGGTTCAGGATAACGTCATAGATTCACTAGGCCTTGAAAATTAAGAAGGGTTTGAATGTGTATAAATGAAGAAGGGCAATTCCAGTGAGATAACAGTATGGGCAAAAAATATGGGAGGTGGAAAGCCCACAGTAGAAGTAAGGCAGATGATGACCAGATACTGGCATACCTAAGAGCAAGGCTGAGGTGAGCCATGACTTTTTTTGAGCAGGGAAGTGGCATTAGGCCCATTAGTCTGGCAGTGTGGGTCTCATGGATTGGAGTAAGAGGGGTAAGGGAGACTAGTGAAACAGAGACCGGGGAAGAGACTCCTGTAGCAGTCTGCCTTTGTAATGTCAGTAAGTTTTGAGAAATATTCCGGTAGTGCAAGCAAGAGATAATGTGATCCTGAACCAAGAGGAAGTTGACAAAGTAGGGAATAAATAATACTTTGGGAGGCCAAGGCAGGTGGATCACCTGAGGTCGGGAGTTCGAGACCAGCCTGACTAACATGGAAACCCTACTAAAAATACAAAATTAGCCGGGCGTGGTGGCCGGCGCCTGTAATCTGAGCTACTCCGGAGGCTGAAGCAGGAGAATTGCTTGAACCTGGGGGGCCGGAGGTTGCAGTGAGCTGAGATCGTGCCATTACACTCCAGCCTGGGCGACAGAGTGAGACTATGGTGAAAAAAAAAGAAAGAAAATAATGATTTGGATGAGCTCTTAGAGTGGAAAAAAGTAGAGCTCTCAGAGGGGAAAAAAAAAACCCACAAGGATTTGGCCGTTGTAGGAATGGGGCAGAGAGAGAAAGAGGGGTTGAGACCATGAATATTTGGAGTCTGAGTACCTGGGAGAATGGTTATGCCATTCTCTGAATCATAGAGGCTGGGAAATAGATGAATTGAGTTTGTTGACTTGTTGATTGGAGGTGTTGATAGTCCAGTCCCTTTAGCACCCGACTCCCTGGTGCCTCTGCCTTTGTCTTTTGATCCAGAGCTACAGAGATCCTTCAATTCCTTGTGCTTGCTGCTTTGTTCCAGACCTGGAGGCCCCCCGCACCCTCAATCCCTCTACTCATGACTTGGAGCAACTTTCACTCCCTCTGAAATAAAATAGTGCTTAGGCCAGTACCTACTCTGTTTCCAACTGTGCAGTAAATGCACAGTTGTTATTAAATGGCCGTTGTTATTATCATAGCTTTGAGATTACAGTAACTAGAGATTAGAGAAGCCTCTGGAACCACCTGGCTGAAGGACTCAGGAGTCATTCAACTTGTATTCGGTAAAAAGCCTGGACTGCAAGTATATGGAGAGGATGTCAGGCTTGGGTGTAGATGGGTGGGGGACTGTGAGCCATGTAAACTAGAACAAGAGAACATGTTTCCTGCCTTCTTCTGTTTTTGAGAATTGTTACATGTAATGTGAGGTTAAGAGGGCAAGCCCTGGAGTTGGACTCCTGGGTTCAAATCCCAGCTCCACCATCTTGTTACCATGCAATGAGCAAATGTACTTAATTTCTTTGTGCCTCAGTTTCCCCATTAGTAAAATAACACACCAACCTTAAAAGATTGTGAAGATTAAATGCGTTAATACAAATAAAAGGTTTATATCAGTGCCTAGTATGTGCTAAGTATGTGCTACTATTCTTATTCTAGAGTCTGCTCTATTCCATTCCACATTCCTGGGAATGAATATATAGGGATTTCTCTTCACCATCCTCACCCAACAGAGGAGGGGTCTGAGCACAGAAACCTGAAATAAATCTCAGAGTGCTTGAAAGTTTGTCTCAGCTAGAATCTAGGTTATCTAAGCCTGGAGGAGCCTGGGCCACAAGTGACAGTTAGAGTTGTCTGGAAGACCTGAGTTTGACTCCCAGTTTTACCACTTGACTTATTTTGATCTTGGGCAAGTAACCTAGTCTCCGAGCCTTAGTTTTCTCATACGTAAAATACAGAACAAATTCCTTCTTGTGTTTCTAGTATACCTCATTTTCCTTGTGACTCCATTCTAGCTATATTATTAGTCTTCTTGTTCCTTAAACATACCAAGGCCACAGGGCCTTTGTACTTGCTGTTCTCTCCCTGGAACACTCTTCCCTCAGATCTTTGCATGTCTTATCCCCTCACTTCATTCAAATCTCTCTGGATGTCACCCCTTATAGAGGCGCCTCCCTGACCATTTTATCTAAAATAGACTTCACCCTTACCTTTTGTCATTCTTTATTCCCTTACCTTGCTTTCCTTTCCTTTTTTTTTTTTTTTGAGATGGAGTCTCGCTCTTGTTGCCCAGGCTGGAGTGCAGTGGCGTGATCTCGGCTCGCTGGAACCTCCCCCTCCCAGGTTCAAGTGATTCTCCTGCCTGAGCCTCCCAAGTAGCTGGGATTACAGGCGCCCACCACCATGCCTGGCTAATTTTTTTTTTTTTGTATTTTTAGTAAAGGCAGGGCTTCACCATGTTGGCCAGGCTGGTCTTGAACTTTTGACTTCAGGTGATCCGCCCCCCCTTGGCCTCCCAAAGTGCTGAGACTACAGGCATGAGCCACCATGCCAGGCTTCCTCTATTTTTCTTTATGGCACTTAGCACTACTTGAAATTATATGCTGTAAATAATTGACCTGTCTTTTGCTAGGATGCAAAATGTGTAAGTTTAGAAATTTTGAATGCCTGCTGCCTGTTCTGAGCAGCACCCCTAATGGACTTTTCTCTCTATTATAGGTGAGCCCTATTCCCGGAGGCAGGTGGTGCTGACCCTGTAACCCAAAGGAGGAAACGGCTGGCTAAGCTCAGCATTGTTACTGGTGAGTGAGGGTGCCTGGGAAAGCTCTGGGCAAGCTTAGGCCAACATGGAGGGTAACTAGTTTGGGAATTGTTTTTACCTTCAGTACAGATAACTCACAAGTGATTATCTTCCTACTCCATGTCTAAGAGATCGGATGTTGCACAGGTAACCTTCTGAACTGGGAGGAGGGTTGAGACTGCTCTCCTAGAGCTGCCACAAGAATGTCTGGGATCATTTACCATGAGTAAGGCAGAGCAGGTCTGCTTCCTTCTTGCTTCTGCTAGCTGCTTTCTGCTGGGATGTGGCGGGTGGGGAGCTATCCTGGGACCTGGCGGCTGTACCTGTCCTCTCACAAGCTCTTTAACATGACCTCACAGCCCTTAGAGATTTTTTTTGGGGGGAGGGGTAGAGGGGGGACAGAGTTTCACTCTTGTTGCCCAGGCTGGAGTGCAATGGTGCGATCTTGGCTCACTGCAACCTCTGCCTCTGGGTTCAAGCAAGTCTCCTGCCTCAGCCTCCTGAATAACTAGGATTACAGGCATGCACCACCATGCCCGGCTAATTTCATATTTTTTAGTAGAGACGGGGGTTTCTCCACGTTGGTCAGACTAGTCTCGAACTCCCGACCTCAGGTGATCCGCCTGCCTCAGCCTCCCAAAGTGGTGGGATTACAGGTGTGAGCCACCGCGCCTGGCCCCTTAGAGACTTTCTTAGATTTAGTTTTTACTGTGATCTGCCAAGTTCATAGGTCAGCTCCAGAAAATCCTGTAGTTTCTTCAGTTCTGCAAAATGTCGTATGAATAATGGTGAGAGTGGAGTGATTAGGGCTTTATAAATGGGATGTCAGGGGAACCTGCAGATGGTGAGAAGGAAGGAAAATCCACACATTAAGAACTTACTGTGTTACTGATGTCAATCTAGACAAAATCCCTTTTTGTTTGTGTGGGGTTTTATTTTTGTTTTTGGGAGACAGGTGTCACTGTGTTGCCTAGGCTGGTCTCAAACTCCTAGACTCAAGTGATCCTCCTGCCTCAGCCTCCTGAGTAGCTGGGATTATAGGCATGTACCACCACAGCCTGCTCTGAAACCTCATTTTATAGATGAGGAAATTGAGGCTCAGGAACTGAAATAATTTGCCCAGGGTTCACACCTGGGAATCCATAAAGCTGATGTTAGAACCCAGGTCAGTCTGACCATAAATGCCATTGTTCTTCCTGACCTGACAGGCTTTCGTTGGGCCGCTAATTTCCCTCTAATTCTGAATTTTCTTAGAAAGTTCAAGAAGGCAGACTTAGGGATTCAGAAAGGAGATTCAGTTGAGGGGCTGAACAGGGCAGGTAGGAGTTGGGGGTCCCTCTGAGCAGTGGTATTTCTAGTGAGGGGAGCTACTAGACTGAAAGATAGGAAGAACCTTCAAGCAGGCAGAGGCCCAGGCTAAAGTGACCAGAACAAGAAGAATGTATCTGTAACACATGGTATCTCATAAACACTTGGGCCAGTACAGGATAAGGACCTGAGTACTGGCTTGAAGTTGAGAAACCTGGGTTTTTCTCTTCTTTCAACATGTGCCCTTGGACAGTCTTCATTCCCCTATTTGTAAAGTCGGAGTGCCTCCTTGTCCCCTCATGTCTCATGTATGTGCACCAACCATGCAGGTATGTTACAGAGAATCAAATGAGAAATGCAAGTTGGAAAGCTTTGTGAATTGTAAAGCAGCATGAATGAAACAAGAAAGTGAGAGGAAAGCATTTTAAGTGTCTGTCTTAGCTTGTTTTATGTTGTTATAAAGGAGTACCTGAGGCCGAGTAATTTATAAAGAAGAAAGATTTATTTGTCTCACAATTTGGATGTCTGGAAAAGTTCAAGATTGGGTGTCTGCACTCAGTGAGGGCCTTAGGCTGCTTCTACTGTGGTGGAAAGGGAACTGCTGTGGCTAGAAATCAGATGGTAAGAGAGGGAGAAGGGAGATGCTAGGCTCTTCTTAACAACCATCTCTTACAGGAACAAAAAGAGTGAGAATTCACTCGCTTCCCCTACCCTCCTTCCAGGTAGGGGATTAATCCGTTCATGAGGGATGCCCCCAATGATCCAAACCCCTCCCATTAGGTCCCACCTTAAACATTGGGGATCAGATTTCAGCAAGAGGTTTGGAGGAGTCCAGCATCCAAAATATAATAGTATCTGTGGCATCTCAGTCCCTGACCTGTTTGCCACCCCATTCCCCAAAAGTAAACGGGAGGATTTTCCTTTGGAAATTTTTCACTGTAAATCTTCTCTTATGCCCTTCTCCTCCTCTCCTTTCTTTTGTAGGCCCTACCCATAGCTTAGTTTTTCCTCAAGGAAGAGGATTCCAGGGCACAGATGACAAAGCCAGGTGGCACAGATGACAAAGCCAGGTAGCACAGGCAGCCACGACTTGCAATGTGTGGGCTGCAGAGTGCAGGTTTAAGTGCACTCATGAACCCTGGCATAGGATACTACAGCAGTTCCCAAGAGCCCATCCCAACAGGAGTCGGCACTCCACTGAGGTGTTGCCTCGTTCCCTGCTGTCATCTCTTGAAGAAGGCTATTACTCCTTTGGCCCTAGGTTCCCTGCCTGCCCCTGCTTACTGCTAGTGAAAAAGGCTCTTGTGCTGTAGCCTCACATTTTATGGAGGCCATGGTCATTCCAGTTTTTCTGCCATCTTGTTCTCCCCCTTTACCAACGATGGAGACCATTCTCTTCATACTGGGTTTTAACAATGGATATTCTGTTCTTCTATCTGCCTGAGAGTGCACAGAGGGTTTTGAACCCTGCCTTCCCTCGTACTCTGAATATCCAGGCTCTTGCTGCCACTTCTTTTTGCCTTGTTAATGTAAAGTTCTACAGCTTCTGGCCTTTCCCTGGCCTGGGTGCCAAGCTTGGATCTTATATGCTTCCTGTAACAACTGCTCTGTGAAGAAGCTCCACTATTAACTTTTAAAATATGAACGATTCCGTGTAAATCAATGTATAATATATACATTTATATATGATAAGCTACCCATATAATAGCTTATTTATCTAACAGCCTCATTTTTCCAGAGTCCAACTGAAAAACAAGAGGGAAGTAAAGCATTGTCATCCTTAAGTATTTGCACAGTGCTAATTTATTCTTATTTTTTATTTTTATTTTTTTTGAGACAGAGTCTCACTCTGTCGCCCAGGCTGGAGTGCAATGGCACGATCTCCACTCACTCCAAGCTCCGCCTCCTGCGTTCACAGCTTTCTTCTGCCTCAGCCTCCTGTGTAGCTGGGACTACAGGCGCCCGCCACCATGCCCAGCTAATTTTTGTATTTTTAGTAGAGATGGAGTTTCACCGTGTTAGCCAGGGTGGTCTCAATCTCCTGACCTCGTGATTCGCCCGTCTCGGCCTCCCAAAGTGCTGGGATTACAAGTGTGAGCTACCGCGCCTGGCCATTTATTCTTATTTTTACGTGTTGTTGTAACAAGTTTAGCATTTGGTTTCTAAAACCCCATAAGATTAAAAGCAGCATATCAAAAAAGGGAGAAGAGCTGCTATATTAATCCCATCTAGGGGTGAGAGCTGAAAGCTGACGGAAAGGGGAGGAGTGAAAGAAGAGTAAGTTAAAACAACAGTCTGGAGGCCACTTAATTTAGGAGCAGCACCTCCACAATTATGTCCCTCAGTAAGATGAGGGTGGGGCTGGGTAATTCTGTGGTGGTTTTGGTTTCCTCTTGAAAGCCAAAGTTTTCAGAAAATATTAAGTATTTATAGTGTCTACTATATATTATCAAACACTATACTGAATGCTTTACATAAATATATTTCATTTTCATAGCAACTTGGGAGGTAGGTGGTGATATTCTTATTTAATAAATTACTTGAGAGTTAGAGAGGGACGTGTAAGCAGTGATCAGAAGAGCTAAGCTTAGAACCCAGAAGAATCTGGCTCCAGAAAACCAAGTTTTTTTCTATTATATCCTACATTGGCTCTTTCCCCACTACCTAAAACCCTGGTCCTTCTCAGGCTCTTAAGCTAGTAGTCCCCCTCTACTCCTTTTTATTCATTCTCCTATAGACATTTTTCGTTTTGAAGATACACATTTATTCATTCATTCAGTGAGTATTGGATTGTCTGTCATATACCAGTCACAGTTTCAAGTGTTTGAGGTGTAGCAGTGAATAGAATAGTTTTTTCTCTGTAGTTTATGTTCTAGTAGAGGAAAGCAGATAAACAAATCTGAAGAAAAATAAAGCAGGGTAAGGGAATAGGGAGACACTGGATTATTAAGGAAGGCCTCTCAGAAAGTAAAATTTGTGCCGAAATATGTAAGAATTAGAGTAGTGAGCTATATGTATCTTTGGGGGAATAACATTCTAGGCATAGAGTTCAGCAAGTTCAGAGGTCCTGAAATAAGAGCATGCTTCTTGTGTCTGAGGAACAAAAGGAGGCCATGTGGCTACAGATGTGGTAAGAGCAGACAGCCTTCCGTACCTTGTTCCCAATTTTAGAAGGAAAGTATTCCATCTTTCACCATTGTATGGTGTTCAGGCTAAGGAAGTTCCCTTTTATTCCTAGTTTATTAAGAGGTTTCATTATAGATTTTGTTGATTTTATGGTCTTTGTTCTTTATTCTACATTGACATTACATTAATTGATTTTCAGATATTAAATCAACTTCACATTCCTAGAGTAAATCCCACATGGTTGTAGTGTATAATCCTTTTTATATGGAGTTAGATTTGATTTGCTGGGGAATACTGTTCTGTAGTTTCTTAGGTCTTTATCTGCTTTTGGCATTAGGGTGACCTCATGGAATGAATTGATGTGTTCCCTGCTCCTCTGTTTTCTGAAAGAGTTTGTAAAGGATTGGTATTATTTCTTCTTTAATTGTTTGATAGAATTCATCAGTGAAGCCACATGGGCCTGGGCTTGTCTTTGTTGGAAGAGTTTAAAATTACTAATTCAAATATCTTACTTGTTAAATCTACTTAGATTTTCTATTTGTTTTTGAGTCACTTTTGATAATTTGT